TAATTATTAATTATTGTAATAGATAATATGGAGTATTTAAGTCATTTATAGTATAGTAATTAATATATAATATGTAGTATTTAAGTGTTATATTATGGAATTTGAGAAGTTATTGAAATTTTTATATGATTTTAAAAATATTTTAAATTGTTAGCTATTGTGATTTGTAGCACTTTTTTTTTTTTACATAATTTTGAAAATAATATTTATTACTCTATTTGTTATAATTTATGTGGCAGATGCAGAATTTCAAATATTAACCATTTTTTATATGTCTCTTTAATATATTAATTTGTTAATTATTGTATTCTATAGTACATTTTGAACCTAATTTTTTAATAATATCTGTTATTTGCCATGTCCCAATTTATGTGGCATTAATTGATAGATTTGTTGGAGTCGAGAGATTTATTTTGTTAATTATTGTAATTTATAGTTTCTTTTTCGTCAATTTCAAACAATATATGTTGTTAATTGATAGAATACTTTTAATGTAATTTTTTTTTAAAAATATGTGTGACTGTCCATGTCCCAATTTATGTGGCACATGTAAAGTTTTGACAATTAACCAAAATCTTAATACATTTTAAAAAAAAATTAAGTCGTTAAATTTTAAGTAATTTAAATTGTTGTATTATTTATTACAATTTATAATGCTTTTAAAGTAGTTTAAATATTGTACTATTTATTATGATTTATAACACTTTTTTTAAAAAATTTATGTCATATTATGGAATTTGAGAAGTTATTGAAATTTTTATATGATTTTAAAAATATTTTAAATTGTTAGCTATTGTGATTTGCAGTACTTTTTTTTAACATAATTTTGAAAGTAATATTTATTACTCTCTTTGTTCTAATTTATGTGGCAGATGCAGAATTTCAAATATTAACCCTTTTTTATGTCTCTTTAATATATTAAGTTGTTAATTATTGTATTTTTTTAGTACATTTTGAACCTAATTTTTTAATACTATATGTTATTTGCCATGTCCCAATTTATGTGGCATTAATTGATAGGTTTGTTGGAGTCGAGAGATTTATTTTGTTAATTATTGTAATTTATAGTTTCTTTTTCGTCAATTTCAAACAATATATGTTGTTAATTGATAGATTTTTTGGAGTGGACTATTTTTTTTAATTAATTATTGTAATTTATTGTTTCTTTTTCATCAATTTCAAACAATATATGTTTATTATATAATCCATTTTATGTGGTACTAATAGAATTTAGAGAGTCAATTAAATTTTTTATATAAGTTTTAAATAATTAAGCTGTTAATTATTGTAATGTATAGTATTACTTATATTATTTTTAAATATATTTAAATATTATATGTTAGGTTTTTTATCCTAATTTATATGGCATTGATAGAATTTAAAGTGTCAAATAATTGTTAATTATTGTAATAGATAATATGGAGTATTTAAGTCATTTATAGTATAGTAATTAATATATAATATGTAGTATTTAAGTGGAAGGTGGTGGGGCCCATTATATAGTTTGATAAATATATTGGATATTAGTAGTGATTTATAGTATAATAATTAATAATATATAATATGTAGTATTAAGTGGAAGGTGGTGGGACCCACTTATATATTTTATAAATATAGTGGACATTTGTAGAGATCTTATTGACACAATGGTAGTCATTCCTAGAGTCTTCTAATATATAGTAATATGCAAAATCTCATACTTATGTATTAAAAAAAGTGAGAAAATGACTAAAATAGTAATACTTTATTTTGGTCTTTAATGTATTTCATTTGATTGAAATAGTTCTTTTTTTTATTTTTTTATTTGGTGTTCAGAGTCCATATTGGAGCTCCGACTAAATCGGTTGGATCGCGCATTGCAAGACCCATTTGAGGGTGACACTTCCAATATGATTTTCTCCATACCAAAGGCTCGAACTTAAGACCTCTGGTTAAGGGTGAAGCACTCCCACCAGTGCACCACAATCCATGTTGATATGGGTGAGGATTGAAATAGTCCTAAATATATAACAAATGTATTCTTTTTGGTCTTCAATATATTTCACTTGATTGAAATGATCCTCAATATATGACAAAAGATGTTCATTTTGATCCTTTACCCTAAACCAATCAGATTTTTTTTTAAAAAAAAGTGTTAAATTTTATTATAGACCCTACGTGACTAACAAAATTTACCATTGTTGTCTTTTTTGTTAGCTTCAAAGAAAAGAACTCCGTAAAATCTAACACATTTTCTCTAGTTTCTCCGACAAAATTTTCTATTTTTTCTTTTTAAAAATATTAGTCTACTAACGTAATACCCATTTCTGTTTTAAACAAAAGAAAATAATAAATTTTGTTAGAGAATGTAAAGAAAATAGTGTTAGATTTGATGAAATTTTCTTTGGAGCCAACAAAGAATACATCAACGGTGAATTTAGTTAGTCACATGGGTTCATAATTAAATATAACTTTTTTTTTAGTAAATCTGTTAAATTTAGGATAAGAGACTAAAATGAACAGTTTTTACTATAATTAAAGCACATTTCAATCAAGTGAAATATATTAAGGATCAAAATGAAACTTTTATTATGCGTTGAAGATCATAATTGAAATACATCAAGGATCAAAATAAAGCATTACACATACACTAAGGACCATTTTGATTATTTTTCTCAAAATAAAGTCATAATAATTTAATGTTTAGTTGTGAATTTATAGGAATTGTTTACTGTAGTTTGTAACCACTGCATTGAGTAAATGGCAGAAGAATTAGGTTAAGGACGGCCATCTATTAATTAGTGGCCTACCTGTAAAATTTATAATCCTACCTTTCTGTCATTAAATAACTATATAAAGTACAGGAACTTAAAATTTTAAGTTAACGTATAAAATTAATTTAATAAAATAAACTTTTAATAAATATATGAAGTCAAGATTTTATTTTAATTAATTAAATTGACCGATGAACATAAATTAATTATTTAATTTTTTTATATTGGTCAAATTCATAGTTTCAATGCTAATAACTCTCAGGGTAAAATAAGAAGAATAGTACAATTATTTGTGTATTTGATTTGTGAAATGATAAGTATTAAAAAAATATTTATATTTAATAAAGACGGCATGTAAATAGGAACGACAAAAGTTTTTATCTAAAAATAAATACTTCTTCCATTCATTTCTAGTTGTTATGTTACGCTTTTCAAAAGTGAATTTGAATAATTTTTAAAGTTAAATTATATTACATTAATTCGATCTTTGAAACAAAAAAAAATTCAAAAATTATATAAAAAGTACTATAAATTGTAATTTTTTACATATCAATATGATGAAAAAATATACCATAAAATATTAATCAAAGTTCTTGTTTATGACAATTAAGAGTGAACGAAAAGAGTAAATAAAAGAAGAAATACTCGAATAACGTGCTGCATTTAACGTAGTACTACACATAAAGCTCGCCTACACATTCAATTATTTAAAAAAATCTTCCCTTGCACAATGATTATGGCGGAGTTAGCATATAAAATTATTAAGGATAAAATAAAAAGATATTAACTATATGCTAAATTTAAAAATAAAAAAAAATAGTTTGAGATAATTGACGTTCGTCAGATAATTTGAGACGAAAGGTGTAATAATAGATGAATTCCTTTCCAATTATTCCGCCGAAATTTGCATTTATGTCAACGATAACCAGCGTGATTAATTATTTCCTAATTAGAATAAAGGTCCAAGATCATAGATTTTTTTTTTTTTTAAATAAATTATTGTATGCAATTTCACTAAAAGATACAAATAAAAAAAGTTAATGAGAATGCAGAGTTGACTATATTAAATCTACTCTTTGTCGGCGTTTTTCTAACTCCGAAGAAAAATAAAAAGTAACAAAAGAGACAAATGGATTCTAGACCCTCACATTCCTTCTTAAATTTATCTCTAATAGGGGTATTATTGGAAGTTCAAGCTAAATTACTTATTCCCTCCGTCCGCTTTTAATCGTAATGATTTTTTTTATTTTTTTTATGACAAGGGAAATTCGCAGTCGCTATCCTTTGGGTGCGCACAGGGTAATACCCCCGCTCTTATGCAATGCTCGCAAACCACATAGGAGAGGTAACCCGCACTAGGCAAGCCCGGTGCGACGAGCTCGACCCAGAAGGCAAACCCCTTGCTTTCGCTGGCAAGGGGTTTCGAACTTGAGACCTCCAACATGAAAGTCCCAAGCCCAAACATGATTTTCTTTTTAGAGTCAAACTATAAAAAATTGTTTTACAATATTTTTTTCATCATATTAATATAGAAAAAATTGTAACTTATAGTACTTTTCGTATAATTTTTGAATATCTAAATTTTTTGTTTAAAATATTGAATTAATATAATCTAATTTAACTTTGACAATTAGTCAAATTGACTTTCAAAGACACAACGTGACAAATGAAAGTGGACGGGGGGAAATATTTGTTTGAATAAGTTTGCACACCTCTAACTTGGATCAGGGTCTATTCTGCGTAGATTTACCTTATGTTTCTACAAAAGATTACATTTCACATCTTCAATCTATGACACGCAAAAACTCCCCTTCAAACAACACTTAAATCTAACCACAAAGATCTATTGCATATAATTTCTCCTTACATTTCTACTAAGGATTGTTTCACATCTTCAATCTATGACCTAATCATGGAACAACTTTACCAGTTACGTAAAAACTTACTTTCAAACAACACATAAAACTATTTCACTAATATTTGCTATTTTTACTAGAAAAATAGCACATGTCATTTGCCCGAATAACATGGAGTATCATACATTTGCCGGAATAAAGTTCAGATTGTGTATGTCAAAAGACCAGATAAAAAACTTGGGCATAACATGAACTTTGGAAGAACAATGTCACAAAGATGCAGCTCAAAAGACACTATAATACTCCTAGTTATGAAAAAATGTACAATCTTTTGGCTACATAATACTCCTCCTGAGAGATTCTCCAAACAAGAAATGAACCAAGGGAGATTTATGTGTGAAAAAAAGCTGCATGCTTGCTATACTCTATTCAACTTCCACTAAATTCCTTGTTTAATGTTTCAAAGACAAATTCTTCTTACAAAAGAATATAGCCAAAAGAAAGAAGAAAAAAAAAGAATTCAGAAGATAAAGAAATTACATGAAAGAGTGGGAGGGGGGTTGCTTAAAATGAACACTATTCACCATTCTTAATGGTTTTCTCTATTCAAAGATGTTGCATTTGCTCAACCATCTGCTCTAATGTAACTTTGCTTCATCATCTTTAAGGGTTTCCAACGGTTCGCGGAGGCGATATAAGTGCACTCAACTCTCCACAATTTTCCCCCATTGCTTGCTCTTCTCATTTACAGTAATGTACCAAAGGTCAGGTTCAGCATCTAGTTTCCAACTTGACTTTTTCAGTTGAACTAATATTTATCCCTAAGCTATGAAAGATTTAATCGACCTGCTCACCGATCAAGTCTAGGCCAACGAGCAGGAATGATATACCTTGAAACAGCAAGAAGTAAAAGTGGATTCCTTGAGCTGATAGTAGGCTCCTTAGTGAAGCTGTCAACAGCAAGAAAGCTAAAGCCAATTCTTTTGTGTATATTCTGTTGTGCTTCTTCTTCCTTGACGCCTTCTTCTCCTTCTCTTTAATTTCCTCTCTTAGTTCCTCCAAATCAGGCACTGAAACACCTCGTTGGTGTTTTGGTTTCCCATCGACCAACAAAGTAAGATTGCCCTCAGAGGAATGTCCTGATTTCTTAGTCGCTGTCCATTCTTCCGAAGCAACTCGCTGGTGTTTTGGTTTTTCCTCAGCTAACGAAGCAAGATCACCCTCAGAGGAACGTCCTGATTTCTTGGTGACTACCCATTCGTATGCACTTCCTAGTTGGAAGAGGCCAGAGACCATGGCATTAAACTTGGTAACGGACATGGTGTTCTCGAATAGAAGGTATGGCACGATGAATGGGAAAGATTTAGGTGACGGAAGTATATTGAGAAATGACATGGTAGCAGGGACGTAAGAGACAACCCATGATGGGAGCGTCGCCTCAGGAATGAACATCGTCATTGGGAGGATTATGCAAAACAGAGTGAATGAATAAAATGGCAATATCAATTTCCTCAAAAGGAAGAAAAGAAATATCAAATTGCCCTTCTTCCATATGCTTATCTGCATCCAACCAAATTGCAAGCATTATTGCTAGGCACAACATCCAAATATGCTAAAACTTAACAAATTAAACTGGAGATCACTTGAATGGAAGCATTCCAATACCTTTGATTTAATGATGGCAGGTAAACAGACACGAAACAACTGCATTGGCCCCGAATGCCATCTATGTTGCTGCTTCCTATACGCTTCATATGATTCCGGTAACTCACACTGACACTGAAGTATCAACAAATTCTTCTTTAGGCTCAAAACAAAGCAACTACTTCCAATAAAGCAATACTCGAAAGGAAAGCTTTTGCAGTGAATTTACCTCTACATCATTGAGAAATATAAATTTCCACCCATGGAGATGAGCTCTGACTGCAATGTCCATATCTTCAACGGTCGTCCGCTCCAACCAACCACCAGATTCTTCTAATGCCTTGATCCTCCATACTCCAGCAGTCCCATTAAAGCCAAAGAAATTCAGAAAAATACCATTCACCTGCTGCTCCACTTCAAAATGAAAAGCCAAATTAACGTGCTGCAATCTTGTAAGTAGATTTTCATCCTTGTTCACAAAAGACCATCTTGCTTGAACCAATCCTATGTCCTCATTATCCTACAATTCAATATCAAAAAAAACAAACCACTCACATCATTAGCACATTCTACACTAAAGTGATAGCATATAACACAAACCATACACAATTACTTGAAATTATCACATATGAAGGTAATCAATACCTTAAAATAAGGGACAGTTCTTTTAAGAAAATCAGGCATAGGCTGGAAATCAGCATCGAAAATGGTAACAAATTCATAGTCTTTGACATAGCTGCAATTCATAGCTGACTTAAGATTTCCAGCTTTATAACCCTCTCTGATCACTCTATGCCTGTATATGATATTAGCACCTTCCTTCTGCCACTTACGAACCTCTTCATTGATCAATGTCTGAGTAATTGGATCATCAGAATCATCAAGAACTTGAATCAACAATCTTGATTTAGGCCACTCCAAACAACACACAGCACCAATGGATTGCTGATAAACCTGATAATAATAATAATAACAATTCCCACCGCATAAAAATGAGTTCTTGATAAACAATTAAACACAAAATCTTGGAAAGACAAAAAAATTACTAAAGTTTACCTCTTTTTCATTACACATGGGGATCTGAACTAGTACCATAGGGTAATAACCACTACCATCACCAGACTCCAGATCCATTGCACCGTCTTTTGCTATTGGCTTAATCTTCTTCATTTTAACCCAAAAACACCCTAAACATAGTACTAATCTATCCACACTTTGGATAAGAAAAAGGACAATGCAACCATTAGCTAAAAATTGAAGAGGAGGAGCAAGATACTCCACCCTAATCAACACCCATTTTGAGTAAACCCAATCAAAAACACTTTGCACAGCTAATGGATTAGCAAATGTATGAAAATCCAACGAGTACAAATACTGTAATTGAAGATCTGATGCACTAAAGTACCAGCCTTTGAAATAAGCTGCTATTTCAAACCCTAACAAGATTACCGACAACCAAAGAAAGATCTTTATGCAAGTATAGAACCGGTTCTTGACAGCCGGATTCTCAGTGGAGCTGTTGTCGGTAGAATCAGTCCGACCGGCAGCGACACGGCGGCTTACGACGGAGGCTAAGCTGAACAATGCTGATGCTATAGAAGTTAAACAACCTGCAGCCTTATGAGCCTTAAGAAGAAGAACCCATGTAAGCTGTTTAGCATTCTTGTTTCTGACTTTTTCACGTTTATAAGGAGACATTGAAGAAACATCATCGTTTGGTAACAAGAAATCATCTTCTGATGGTCCTTCAAGCTCAACCATTGACCAATTGTTTGGATTCTCCATTTTTACTACTACTGGTGTACCCCTATGGGTTTCTTTACCCCACCAGGTAAAAGAAGGTGCCATTGTTGAGATTCTTGAAACAGACCCAGATGGGAAAATCACTTAAAAACTGTAAAGATTGAATCTTTATCTGTTTTTCACCTCAAATCAACACAATGCTAGTAAACCCAGATGGAAAAAACTAAAGGGTGTTGGATTTTTGAATTCTTGAACTCATTTCAGAGTCCAGAAAGAGAAGAGATAAGAAAAGGCAGACACAGAGAGACACAAAAATACACACTCACACACACACACAGAGGTTTATAAAGGGAATATGAAAATTTGCAAAACAGTACATTGAATGTAGAGAGAGAGAGAGAGGACCATATAATAAGAGTGAAAAAAAGAGCTATAATGTAATGATATGATTTAGTTAAAGAAAGCAGTACAAACAGCCCCTTGGATTACAGCTTGCAAAAAAAAAAAAAAAAAACTTTCACAATTTTTGTTATGGTAACAGTGCAACACGTCTTTGATTTTTGTAAAATCAAATATCTCAAAAGAAAAATTTGACAGCACGTTGTTCTTTTTTCTTTCAATACCACCACTCTTTATTTTTATATATATAAAAAAAAATAAAAAATTACCAGAGTGGTTTAATTGCTCCTTTTTTTTCACCCTTTCACATGACCAAGAACATAAAAAAAAAAAAAAAAAATCAAACAGGACATGAAATTTTGTGGACTATTGTGTTTTTCACCTACTACTCCTTAATGGTGTTTTATAATAATGAAATCAAGAAAGAAGAATGAAATAGTAGATATTATATTCATAATGATAATAATAATAATATAATGTGTGTATATATTTGTAGATAAACAGAGATAAAGATTCAAATGAAAAAGATCTAATGAAACTTTAAATCCTGGCTCCTCCTCTCATGAAATTTTTTACCGTGTGAATTCCACGAGGTAATAAATCAAGATTCAAGATTTGTCTTTGATAATATAAATGATAAATTTTGTATATATATAAAATGAATACACAAGGAGAATAATATAGGATAGAAGGAGGATATGATGAAAAGGGCTTAACTAATCATCTAATCTTAAGATCATAAGATCTGGGAAATAATGAGCATTTAATTTTTGTTTTTAGCTGTAATAAATTCCTAATATATTTTTTTGTAAGAATAAAAGAAAAGGAAAGAAGAAGAAAAAAAAGAAAAATTAGTACATTTGTTTTCTTGTTTTTGGTCATGTTCGAAATTCCTTGACCGAGAAAACAGCGGGTCATTGCCGTCATCAAAGGATTAATGTCCAAATCACCCCTTTGAAATGGTACTCTCCTATAATATATGAAATATGTTTTTTAGAATTTAATAATCGTAGTGTACGGATTAACTTGTGTGGTATTGAGTTACTTTATTAATCATTAGATCAGACTTTTTAGTGCATGAAATTATATAATCCCACTTAGATTAAATTTTTTTGTGCACGAAATATATAATACACTAAGAGGTTATTTGAATTAAAGATAATGTATGTTGTAACTAATTATGATGTGGCTGGTTATCTTGATATTATTTCTTATTATTTGTTCGATTGTTTTATTAACAATAACATATGTTATTTAATTTTTAAGAAGTTGTTGTTTATAAAAATATCATTAATCTTATTTAATGAGTAAGAAAAATAAATAGAGAAAGTTTAAGGGTGTTTCTGTCATTTTAATTATTTTATCATGAGATAAGTAGGTGATTAGTAGAGTTAGCACTAAACAATTTCACTCTTGGAAAAACTTATCTCAAAACTAATTACTAATCATACTATAACGTATCTAGAATCAATAACCAAACAAGAGGAAACTACTAAATGTTTAATCCCAAAATTATCTATATTTGTCGAATGTACCAAATGACTTGATAATTTTGAGAAAAATGAAAACTATTTTTAAGTAGACATACAACAATTAATAACTCTCTAACATGAATCTTGATATAATAACTTGAAAAACTAAAACTCAATATAATGTATTATCTATGTTGTCAGTGTATATATTTTCAAACTCGCAATTTTTTCATGAGGACTTGATAGTAATTAGACTCCATTTAGTCAACTTTTTCCTTTCGTCTTAATCGGTTTTTGTTTTTGTGGTAATAATTATACTTATCTAAAATAATTAGCGTCATTCACGCTCCGCCAAAAACACAAATGCACAAACCAAAATTTGACACTTCAACTAAACAAAATTTTGAAAAGACAAAAATACTAAACGAATTATTGTACGTATAAAAGAAATTATTAAGTGGTGGACCTCTTTCTTTTTATAAAAAATAAAATAAAATAGTCTTTTTACAGTAATTCCGAAAATAACGAAAGTTGCCTTGAACAAGTGGAGCTATACAAAAAGGCTTCATAAAATCTTTCCTTTTCTAAAGGTAAAAATATTCAAAAATATGGAGTAACATATTGTTACTTTTTAGAAGTATAGGAGTACTCATTAAATGATGAAGTGAATTACGTAGAGTTATAGTACTAATTATGGTAATATGAGATCACTTCTTTTAACCTAAATGAAACTACAAAAAATCACAATAATTGTTGGATAAGAAAAAAAGAAGAAGGTAAAAGCCCATGATAATTATTAAGAGTGTAACATGTAAAGCCAAAAATTTAATGAAAAAAAAGGTAGAAATGTTGCTGTGGAAAAGTTGAGCCTATAAAAGGGTTATCCGTGATGAAAGAATATAACCTATGGATTTAATAGTTTATCAATCTCTAGCTTCTAGGGTTAAGGATTTGAAAATCAGCTCGTAAAATTATAATCTATTTAATTTATTTATATGTGGACGGCTAATAATTTACTTAATTTATTAGTAATAAGTTTATTTTGACTCGTTCAGTCCAATTCATTTAAAACTTAGTTAATATATACGTAGTTTTGATTGATTTTATCTAAATATTTTTTTTATCTATTTTTTATAGTCATAATATAAGGGATAAAGTTTTATTAGGTACTTAAACAAATTATTAAAAAAAATTAATTTTAAATTGAAAACTTAGTAAGAATTGGACGGATTGGATTATGATTCGAGTTTTTGCTCAATTCAGCCCAAATAACTTTGAACGAGTTAATGACTTGTCCATTTATTAATTCAATCTATTTTGATCTTCTCAAATTTAACACAAACCTATCCATTTCAAACTCTTGGCGAAATAAATTACGTTGTATATTTTACTACACCCTCGAATAATATGTTGTGTGAAAAATACGCGTTGGATGATGTAAGAACATTAACATGCAACAAAAAATATACAAAAAGAAGACACATAAAAACAAATCAATTTGATTAAATTATAAAGTGAAGATCTAACAAACTTCTTAACTCTCAACCAAACACCGACACTTTGCGGTCAAATACAAATGTTTAGTATACTGAGAAGATTAAAAAAAAACGGGGACGATAAATTTGTTGATCGAGTAAAAAGAGGACTCATAGAATTTAATTAAGCACTAAATACCATGAATAGTTTAACTGGCACAAATTTTTGAAAAATATGAAAAGATTGTGGCACATTAAAAGTGAATCCAACGTAGGTAAAATGTTATATTGACATTAATCATTTGTCATATAAGAAAATTGTGTCACTTTTTTAAAAAAATGACTAAAAATGTGAGTTATATAAATTAAGAAAAAGAAAAAATCTAATTTATTCATATAATATTCTAATAATATATAAATATAATTAATTTTTAAGACAACGTTTTCAAAGTTTCGAAGGTTGAGTGGTCACGTGACTAAGTACACAAATGTCAATTACCTGTTATTTTCTTAGAGGTTCACTTTACTACCAAAATCCTCAGATTGGCTCCAAGTATTCATTCTATAGGAGTATTATTTATTACATTTATGATTAACAAAAACAGGAAAAATAATTTAGAAAGGAAAAATATTAATATAGTAATAAAGTAGATAGAAAATAAGCTAGAAAAAAAATCAAATTTTGTTTAACAACTATGGAAAAATAATGAAAAATCGAAAGAATGATAATGTTGGGGTGAGAAGGCCCGGCTCAAAGATCGATAATTTGAACTAAGGAAATTGAATAATAGAAAAAAATGAAAAGAGAAATAGAAAAAATATTTCACTTTTATAATTACAAAAATATATTTGTACCTCCACAATTTCATATTGACCATATAATTAATATAAAAATATCAAATTACATAATACTATCTAATTATATATAAATCTAATATCTAGGTTAGTTTCTAAAACACTAAAAAATATTTTGTCATCTTACTTTTTGGGACCTTGTTCTAGTCAATGTTGTCAAATTAGACCTTCCAAAGAATTTTCTCATTTGGACCACCATCCCATAATTCAAGGAGTATTACGATAATATTTCAATTTCAAACAAAAATAAGTGCAATATCTTCTGAAAAAAACTTCTATTTAGACAAAAAAAAATTCTTTTTATATTACTTTGCAGAGGACAATGCCAAATGGAATTGTTTTCCAAACGAAATATAAATGGCACACTTTCAAAATTTAAATTTTTTGTCAAGTCTCCCATCTACACATGATAATTCCTTAAAATGGAATTTTCTGAGGCACGTGCGATGACTCAGCTGATGCACGTGCGAGACTACTGAAGATATAAAACCGGTCGGACAAAGCCGGCTATCAACAACCGCCGGTCAAACCGGTTGTTTGTTATCTTCTAATAGTACTATTAATATTATTTATGAGTATGTGATATTATTTCCTAACTAGTACATTCAAATATTAATTTTATATTTTTTTCTTTTGACTTTAATGCTTATAGGTTGAGAGATCGTTTTAAATAGATCCTCGGCTCGAGCGGTTTGAAAAATACGAGAGTAAAAGAAATTCTAATGAAGATACTAAGAAAAGAAAAATATCAACAAAAATAATAAGATAACTAACACAAAATAAATAAAAATAGTAGTAATAAACATGTGTATCCAGCGGTTGCAAGTTCGAGTCTTGCTAGTATAATTATTTTTGTCTTCAAAGGTGTGGCCTAGTGATCAATGAAATGAATTAAAAATTATGAGATCTCAACTCTCAAGTTCAAGTCCTAGTAAAGATAAAAACACTGAGTGATTTATTCTTCTTGCTTGTCCTAACTTTGATGGACAGAGTTACCAGATATGATCTATTGCTGGTGGAAGGTGTGAAGTATTTTGTAGAATTAAGAAAGGTACATACAAACTTATCTAGACGATTATAAAAAAAAAAGAACAAAGAAGATGATAAAAAAAGAGAGAGAAAATTAACAAAATATTCTAAGCTAGAACCATTTTCTCCTCTGAGGAGAGATTTGATTACCTAACATTTTATCTTAATCTTTGACCTTCATGTTCTCTTATCATAGATTTAATATTACAATTTTTTTTAGTTAAAAAAGTAATTAATTAAGTTTATGCCAAAAATCTTCCACTATATAAATTGAAATGAGAGAGTATATAAGTATGTAACCAATTTAATGTTGTAATGTATAGAAGATTATACAAGAAAAAGTAGTATATGAAATGCTTCATTAGGGCATCCAAAGCGTGTAGGGTCAACTAATTGATTGAAAACCATAGAGTATTAAATTAATCCAACATATTAATCCTCAAGATTATATTCATCATTACTGTTAGCTTTGTACAACTGGATACCTCAATTATACATCTAGGGGTCCTAATTTATTGTTTAATAAATTAACAATATAACTTTACTTGCTTATCCAATTAAACAATGATTAGTGACATCTAAAGTTGTCTTTTTCTAATTTGCCCGTTTGGGTTCCACCGCCAATGACCACATCACACTTTTAATGCCTTTGATTAATTTTTAAATAATGAGCGAAAGATAAAACAAATCGTGTTAAGTACGACTTTACTAAGAATATTTTTGGTGTACAAAACATTATGTTTGAAAGTCGGGTGAAAGGCTGAATCTAAAAGGTATGACGTAGACAATCTACCTAATGCAAACATTAGTAACTATTTTCACGACTCAACTCATAACCTATAAAGTGACACGAAGATAATTTATTGTTGCTCTTAAGCTTCTTTCAACGACCTTATTAGTGGAGTATATAATAATTTATAAATTGAGTGGGAAATTTTATAGGTGCAAAAAATTAGTGTGTGATCATGTCTACTTATGCATCACATATGAAAAATTATTGAGTCTTAAACAACACAATTTTGAAATCCTTAAATAAAATTTGCAATGATTGTCAAAATCAACATGTGTAAGTTAATTTTAATGTGGGGATGATTGCGACCTATTGAAATGGAAATAATAGAGCTTGATTAATATTTATTTTCTTTGTCGGTGTGACCAACTTTTTTTGATTATTTAATGTTAAATAGGAGTAACTAATATACAAAAATTCAATATCTTGACGTTTGTATGATTTATGTTGGTTTTCTTTTTATTATTGGGGTTGTTGGTTGGTATTATTATTTTTTGTTCATATTTAAATCATGCCTACTCCTTTTGTTTCCCTTTTTAATTTCTTTATTTATTTTTATAATATAAGAATTATGGTCAACAAATTTTCAATATTTTGATGACAACCTCGTTATATTCAAACTTGTACGGTAGCATATAACTTGCAAAAATTACCACAACAAATCACTAGTTTGATACTATTTTTTACTATAGTGAAAAATAAATTGAGACATAAAATTTAAATAATTGTTCTGATTATAATAAATCAAATTCATATTGATTGCTGATACAATAACTAAAAGAAAATTTGCTTGCGCTTTCCTCTTTTCAAATATTCTTGAAAATTCTTGATCCTATTGAACCATCGAAACATAATTATTTTTTTCTATTGGTTGAAAAAAAGAATAATAAACGATAGGACATTTTTATTTTGACTTGTGTTAGGGTAATATTCAAAGGGTTTATGCCAAATTAGTGGACATCACGTAAGAAACTATTGTTATTCGAATATTGCAACTAAAATTTAATTATCAGATGCAATGGATTGACTTCAACAAACAGAATAGTAGTATGAATTTGTTATTTTATTTAAATATATCATTTATTTAATTTAAACAAAAAATGTAGTCCACCTTTACTGAAATCGATGATACAAGTGTTGCCACGTTAGCAAAATAATGCAATAATAATAATAATGTACAATCATCGTGAACTCAATTAATATGAACTTCTTCAAATGTTGAGTACGTGTTTGAAATGAGAGTGATATTTTTTCTTAATTAATGAAAATATTTTCTAGAAGTTGAATTTCAAAAGTAATCTCTTAAAAGAAATGTTTTTTCAAAATGTCTTACATTTTTCGTAGGTGCAAGTCAATTTTTTATATTTTATTTTGACAAATATTTTAATACTTGAAGCATGTTGTTTGTTTCAATCAGCATTAACTAAAATATTACTTATTGACTAACTTTAATAATCAAAATTAGCACATATATAAAAGCACCCGTCCATGATGTTATGGAATGGAAGAAACTAGAAAGATAAATTAAAGAGAGAATAAATGATAACTCTTTGTATTCATTTTTGCATTGATTCAAATAGAAGAGTACATCCCTATTTATAAATAATTAAGGAGAATCCTTCTTAAAGGAGAGTACTTCTTAAAGGAGAATCATTCTTAAAGGACAATCCTTTTTAAAGGAGAATCCTTCTAGATACTAGACTAAAATAAAACTAAAGGGAAAAGGGTCAAATGCCCCCTCAACCTTTAGCCATATTTCCAACTACACACTTAACCTTTTCGGGGGTCCTATTACCCCCCTGAACCTTTTTATTTTTATATTATTTCACCCTCAGACGCTGATGTGTCCACCTAAACCAGATTTATAAAAAATGTTTGTATACACGCGCTGTCCACGTATATATTAGTGGACCCCATGACTTTACACGACTCACATATTGACACGTGTCATAAAACTTTACCTTTACCTTTGAACCAAATTAACCCTCATTCTTCTACCTTTACCTTTGAACCAAATTAACCCTCATTCTTCTTCCTTAGATTAATTCTACGATCTTCTTCCTAAATCTCTAGTTCTTCTTCCTTTTCTCTACGATCTTCCATTATTGACGTTGCTCGGAAGCTTAGTTACTATTTCTTCTGAGAAAAGGTTAGATCTTTACTAGCTAAATACTATTTTGATTTAGTGTTTGATTAGGGTTTTATTTTTACTGCGTATTCAAATGCTATTTTGACTGGTATGTTGTAGTGTGGAGGTTTTTAGGGCCTTTTAATGTTTATTAGGGTTAGTTCTAATTGAACGTTATTCTTTACCAACTGAATGTTATGTTGATATTTGATTTTAGTTTTGATGGTAGTGTTGATTTTTAGGGCATTTGTTGCACAGGCATTCAAATGCTATTTTGATATGTGTGTCGTTGTATGTAGTTTATTAGGGGTTTTAATAGTTATTTACTTGTTTTCGTGAATTTATATAGTCTTGTAGTTTACTGGTAAAGTACAACCTCAAAAAGTAGAGTTTCTCATTCCTTACTAGTGTTACCTCTGTTCAGGTAGGAGATGAGTGGATTTACTTTGGTTACTTTAAGATGGTATCATGGTGGAGTATTAGATTTGAGTAGTGGACAAGTAGTTTACAGTGGTGGGCAAGTTACAGAGTTTTTGGATGTTGATGTGGATAGACTGTCCTATTTTGAATTAAGAGGCTACATTAAAGAATTAGGATACACAACAACTTGCACATTTAGTATTAAACCTCCTAACAGTGGTATTTTGGAAGATATTCATAATGATATGGATATTTTAGACTTAAGTTGTTCTTTGGAAGATGGAGATATTGTGGAGGTATATGTAAAGCACTTGATTGATGATGCAGTTGTGGACCCCACCCTTATTTTATTAGAAAATGTTCCTCATGGGTATATGGAGGAATCTGGTTCAACTTTTAATAAAGTAAATGAACAAAGTGGGGTAGGTGAAGACCCTTTTACTACCTTTGATACTAGATCTGCTTCTACCCCAACTCCTTCCACCACAACTTCTTCTCCTAGATCTCCTTTCACTACCACAACTCATTCCACTACAACTGCTGCTCCTAAATCTCCTTCCACTAAAACTCCACCCACTACAACTGCTGCTCCTAGATCTCCTTCCACTACAACTCCTGTCACTGCTGCAAATCCTAGTATTGAAGATGCTGATGATCTAGTTTCAGGCCCTGTTGAATCTGATTTCTTAGAAAAAGAGGGTTCTGATTACTCAACTGAAGATAGTGTTGAGTCTGAATGTGGATTGGTGGGAGATGATGATGAGGACTATGGTAGTGATGTACATGAAGAGGTTAGGGAGTTGAGGGCTGAAAAAAGATCTTTTCAAAGAAGAAAAAGAAAAGAGAGAGTACCAGTTGATACTGAAGAGGTACCAGTAGGTGAAGCTGGAGCAGATTTAGGTTTTGATGAAACTCAAACAGGTAAAATAAGTGTTGAAGGAAGATTAGGAGGTGATGAGCCTTATTTTGCAAGTTCTGATGATGGAAGTTTTGAAATAGATGAAGATGAATTTAGTGATGAATGTGTTGAATCTGAAAGAGTACATTTACCAAGAACTGTAAAAAGAAGGAGGCATACCATGTGCACATGCTGTGGCTGCCATTTACTTTAAGAAATGTGAACCTCTTGACTACATTGACAACTGCTATAGTAAGGCAACTTACTTGAGGACTTATGCCAATGTCCTTCAACCTGTCACAAACATGGAGATGTGGCCTGTATCTACTAACCCCACAGTTGCACCACCAGAAATAAAAAGCATGCCTGGCAGGCCAGGTAAACTTAGAAAGAAGGAAGCTGGTGAGAGTAAAAAATCTGGAAAGCTACCTAGAACTGGACTTGCCATGACATGTAGTAACTGTAATGTTAGAGGCCACAACAAGAGAGGATGTCCACAAAGGGTTGAGTCATCAACAAGGGAAGAACCATCAAATATAGACAAGGGAAATGGCAAAACTTCAGGTTTAGGCAGACCAAAGGTAACATCTTTACCTTTAATTTGGTATGTGATATAGATCTCATATGTAATAACTACAATTATTTTTAACTATATTTATAGAAAACACAAACAGAAGGTGAGCATTCTACAAAGAGGTCAAGAGGAAGACCACCTGCAGCACCTAGTGCATCTCCAGGACCTGCAAAGAGGTCAAGAGGAAGACCACCTGCAGCACCTAGTGCATCTCCAGGACCTGCAAAGAGGTCAAGAGGAAGACCACTGGCAGTACCTAGTGCATCTGCAGCACTTACAAAAGGTGCAAGAGGAAGACCACCTAATGCATCTGCAACACCTGCAAAGAGTGCAAGAGGAAGACCACCTGCAGCAGCTAGTGCACCTCCTACATGTCCATCACCTGCTAATTACCATGTTGGATCTTCTTCACCTGCTGATTACCAGTTAACTAATAGTAACAAAGGAAGAGGAAGGGGTAGGGGAAGCACAACCTCATACAAAAGGCAAACAGTCATTGGAATGGGTGTGTTTCAAGATGAAAATGGATTCAAAGCTCTCAATGTAAGTGTTTTCTATTGATTCAATTATACTATTTTTTTTATGTTTAACTACAAACTCAACTCACTCACTAATTATTTCATAATTTGAATACAGCCTGGGATGTCAAGTTGTAAGATCTTCTCTACTGGTACAACAAAGGTGACAAAATCTGCTGATGTTACTGGTGATATTGGTTACAAACCAAGTACTGCACCCAAGTTGAAATGGAATGGAAAAGCAGCAATCTCAACAAGCAAACTTCAAGAAATGAGAGAGGAACAAAGAAAAAAATCAAAAGGAAGTAGTTCATGAAAATATTTCCCATTTTGAATGATGATGTATTAGTATTGAACATCAAATTATGTTTTTGTTTTTGGTTTTTGGTTTTTGATTGTACTTTGACCTTATGTGAGGCCTGTTTTACAATCGATTATGTCAATTAAGGGCCTTCTATTTTACAAATAGTGTTATGTTTATTCAATTTCTCCCGTATTTGTTGTAATATAGACACTACTATATCAACTACTTTATCCGAAAAGATTCATATATTGATATACAAAATTTCTCATATTACATATGATAACCAAAAGAGAGTTTCAACTCCTTTCACTACTCACTACTCACATACGTTATGGCAATTCAATTAGTTCAATACTTGAATGAACCCTACTTTGAAATAGGTTGTTGATGAACAAGGCAACAACACAAATCAAAATACACAAAATGACCTTCCAATCAAACGTACACCATTTCAACTTTCTTCGTTTGAACCTCTTCTCTACTGTCAAATTATCAATCAGAACTTGTTGCTCATTGATTTGAATCTGTCTCCTCCAAACTTCATCTTCCAACTCTTTGATTTTGTTCACCAATTTTGGGAGGATAAATTGGGATCTTGGATCGATTTCTTCTCTGTCTCTCCATCGGAAAAAATGACAATTGTTCTCCTGAAAAAATAAAAAAAAATATATTAATGTTATTAACATTCACATCAATTAAACCCAATAAAATCAAACAATTGAAGAAAATTCACATACACCATAGTAGGGGCAAGACCAAAATCGTCTTCCGGGATTCGACTTCGACCAAGAAGTCTGCATATGCAACAAACTTCCATGTTTGCATCGTACTATGGTTTTGAGAATTGGGTCTGATTCTTCCATGCATAGCTTATTCAATTTTGCATTTGACATTCCTAACCCGAATAACACAAAGTGAAAAAAAAATCAAGCTGTCGAATTGGGAAATCCGAGAAAATTGCAAACCCTACATTCAATCTTAGTTGGAGAAGATACAACAACTAAATTCAAGCTTTGAAATTCAAGCTTTGAAAATGGTGGATGAAAAACAAAGAAGGGAGAGAGCTTTTGTTCAAGAACAAAAGAGATGGAGATAAATGAATTGAGAAAAGAATAAAAAATAAATGTATGGGTTATATAAAGAGTAAAGTTACCGTTGGGAGGATTATTTGGACTCCACGTGGACATTTTATTACATTGTTACGCGCCTCACGAAGGTGAGTTCACGTAGGTGGACACATCAGCGTCTGAGGGTGAAATAATATAAAAATAAAAAGGTTCAGGGGGGTAATAGGACCCCCGAAAAGGTTAAGTGTGTAGTTGGAAATATGGCTAAAGGTTGAGGGGGCATTTGACCCTTTTCCCTAAAACTAAATATTTTGCAATTAATGTAAACTCTAGACTTGAAAGGAAACTAAATACTATAAAATATTTTTAGACTAAAATAAAATAAAATAAAAAGATTCTACCAAATTCCAACATTCCCCCTCAAACTCAAGTTGGTGTATTTGACTTGAGTTTGAACACTTAATTATTCTTCAAAAATATCTTCTAATAAAATTCATCCTCACATTCTTCTTCTACTAGTAATGCTTGTGATTTATTTTGAGTGTCTTTGAACTTGCACACTTTTGTAACATGACCTGTTTGTTTGCAACTTCCGCATACTGCATCAGATCTCCACCAACAGAATTTTTCCAAATGTGTTTTCTTTTTGCAATATTTGCAAGGAGGATAATCAACTTTTCTTTTTTGATAGTTTGCATAAAAGATGCCTTCAACAATTTTTTATCTTGTCTGAAAGCTCTTTTTTGCTCTTGTGCTTGAAGAGCACTTATCAATTCAACAAGAGAGATGGTAGAGAGATCTTTAGACTCTTCCAAAGCAGAGATTTTAGACTCAAATCTTTCGGGAATAGTTACAAGAATCTTTTCAACTATTCTATTATCTTTAAAATCCTCACCAAGCAACCTGATTCTGTTGACAATCAAGGAAATCCTGTCAGAATAATTAGTGATAGTCTCACCCTCTTGCATACTAAGAGATTCAAAATCTCTTTTCAAATTCAGAATTTGATTTTGTCTGCCTCGTTCACTTCCTCGGTACTCCTTCTCAAGTTTTTCCCAAGCTTCTTTTGTTGTCTCACATGCAATGATTTTAGAAAAGATTGAATCTGCAACTGAATTTTGAATTACAATTTTGGCTTTGTGTTTTTTTATTTTCTCTTCTGAGTGAAGTTTGATTTCAGCATCAGAAGATTTTTCAGTGAGTTGTTGTATGGGTTTGTCTTCCATTACAACTTCCCACAAATCATAAGCCTCAAAATAAGACTTCATCTTAACTGCCCAAATTTGATAATTTTCACCATTGAAGGTTTGTGGGGCATTGAAAGAAAGAGTATTGCTTGTCATGGTTTGAAAAATAAGGTTTAAAATAATATAGATTAAAAATTGGTTAAAAGTAGCCCTGCGTTAAAAATAAAAGCACGAGTTAAAATTGGCCCTGCGTTAAAAATAAAAGCACGGATTAAAAGTGGGTTGAAAATAGATATGAATTAAAAGTGGTTGAAAGTTCTTCTTCAACGAACTCACAGATCCATTAAGATCAATGTAAGGCTCTGATACCACTGTTATGGAATGGAAGAAACTAGAAAGATAAATTAAAGAGAGAATAAATGATAACTCTTTGTATTCATTCTTGCATTGATTCAAATAGAAGAGTACATCCCTATTTATAAATAATTAAGGAGAATCCTTCTTAAAGGAGAGTCCTTCTTAAAGGAGAATCCTTCTTAAAGGAGAATCCTTCTAGATACTAGACTAAAATAAAACTAAATATTTTGCAATTAATGTAAACTCTAGACTTGAAAGGAAACTAAGTACTATAAAATATTTTTAGACTAAAATAAAATAAAATAAAAAGATTCAACCAAATTTCAACATTCCATGACACTATAAATAACATGAATTAGCCAAAGACAACTTTTTGTCGATATAAAAATAAAAATCTATCACTAATCCGATTTGATAATAGATTATAAAATAATTGTATTAGCTATGGACAATTAGCAATATATTAGAACGAATTTCATAGTTAATTTTAAAAATCCTGTGATCCCACCTTACTAATCAAAACCAAAAAAAATCTGAAAAAAGTTTTTCAAGAACATCACAAATGTTTTGTCCAATTATGTCATATTAGTCAGTTTCTTAATTATTCGGTATTCAAAATTAACAGACTCAAATAATTCGAATAGATTCACTATATTCCTATAGATTTATTTTATTTTTGACAAATAATATGATGCAATAACAATTAAACACGTGGCCAGAAATCGAAATGAAGGCCAAAATAGTTGTTGTTGTCCATTGGAGATATGAATGTTCACTTTTTATTTTCTTTTTTTAAATCTTTTTCCCCCCACTTCAAATCTCCAGTTAAGCAAATTTAGTTAGTTTTGTGTACTAATTTTGGAGGATTATTACATGATTAAGCTATAGATCTACTAGCTGATTACTCTAGTAGTAGTAGCTAATTAAAGTTATCACCATATCATGAGATGTTGGGAAAAGACATCTCAATATAAATTGAAGGACAACTTATTAATGTCTTCTTGTTTATGGCATCTACAGCTGGGTTTTCTACAAATAGACACCGCTATAAAAATTATTATTTGAAATATGTTTGTGTGTATTTTTATAGATATTTTGATTAAATTGGTGAGAAAGATTAGGAAGATTCTCGATATTTCAGTCTATTTTCCACTATTTATTCTTTCGTAGAGCTGATTCAATGGTGGGAAAATCATGTTTAATTACACAAATTTTCAATTGATTCGCGATAAGAAAAACCTTTATTTTAGTAACGAGAGTTCAATTTTGAGCAATGATAAAATTAATTTTTATGTGATGTGTGGGTTGCGAGTACAAGCTATATACTCACTATTAAACTTAGCGTTAGAATAAACAACTTAAATTACACAATTCCTGCATTAACACAAAACACTTCATAGTTATTATAGAAAAATAAACAATATTAAAAATATGTGTGCACCGAATTTAGTTTTATATAACAATTAAACAGTTAGGTAGTATAGCATGTCATGCTACTAAGACTTATTGAGTATCTAAAATTTACTGTCTCGATCAATTCGAAAATGATAAATTATTCTCTACCAAGTTTCCTTTGATAATTATTAGCGAAGAATACTTATTTGAGGCCCTAGAACATGTACATACCGAATATAAGAATTTTTATTTCATAGAAAATCTAGTGATGCTGATTAAATACATAATCATTGCTATTAAAAAACAATTGAGACAAAAATAAAAATTTGTACGTAGCTTCTGGTCTTTGACATAAAAGAAAAAGAAAATTATTGTAATAATGAAACAAGACATGTGAGATTAAATTTAGCAACATATATATCCAGTAGGATATGAAAATCTATTTGGATTTGAGGTTAACGGAAGAAATTAGATAGTTGAGATGTCACCTTCATTCTATATATACTCACTTAACACTGATCTTACCTAAAAGAAATTAATTTGAAATTGTCTAAAAAAATTGATGTAACAACAATATATCTCATGTAATTCCACAATATTATCTTATGTGTGATATATTAATTATTTTTAATAGATTCTTAACTTAAAAAGTGGAAAAAGTATCATATTTGATTTTTTTTTCTATTTAGATGATTGAGGAAATAAAAAAGGAGCTAGGTAAATATAAAATAATAGCAACACTATGCTTTTCTTTTCATGATGAGAATGGTATTTGAACTTATTTGTACGCATCTCAAATATTTCATCATCAGTTACCTTTTTCAAATCGCTACTAAATAATTTTGCTTATCAAAATCTTAAACTACGTTTTTCTTTTTGTTGATTATAATTTGAATTCTGATCTCTCATAATTTTTATTCATCAATAACTTAATGAGTGGAAGTGACATGCTTTTCCTGGCATGCTGGAATAAGATGACAAGGCTAGAATAATAGACACATGGTAG